TATTTTTGTGTACTGTCATATGTTATATACTGGATGTTCCTAAGATTTTGTTTGCAGCATTTGAAAGCCATAGTTATTACTGGCCAAAAAGTGTACTTTCCGATTAGAGGAAAGATCTCTGTGTTGTTAAGAGATGTCCTGTGCCTCTGTGGAGAGTGAGATGGGTTATTGTTTTGACATAAACTGGAGGCATTTTCACGTCTGTGTGTACCAGGTGGTGGGAAGGATAGCCGTGAGTACCGGCGTTTTCCCAGACCCTCTCCTGCAGGATTTAAAGGCAGTCTTTGACCCCTCACTCCTAGCAGAATAGTCATCAGCGTTTCCCCAAAGCCGTGAGGGCAGGTGAACTTACTGCCAGCCCATAAACTTAGTAGCAGCTCTTGCCTCAGTTTCTGTAATTCAGCTGGAAGGGGTTCTTCCGAGAGCGGTTTGCAGTTTGTTAGTTTTATTTCCCATTCCACCCTCCGCAGAGATGAGGAAAGCAGCCTCTCCTATGGCCTTCATGAGAAAGCCCCACATAAGTCACTGAATAGAGAAAAGGTTTCACATTGTTGAGTCCTTTTTATTTCTAACAACAAGAAGTGCATTTTTACGGCGACTTTTCCACATAGAAATGTAGGATGTTATTATTCCAACAAAACAGTCCATGGGGGGACTCTGCGCCCCCACCCAGCCCCTCGCTTCTGTCTGAGTTGGTGTGAGGTTTTCTAAAGTTCGAGGACATCCTAAGAACTAGGACTTTCATCTCCATTATTGTGGGTGAGTTTCACTTCTTCTTCACATACCACCGCTATCCTCTTGTGATTATTGCCGTCATGTGGCTCTTTTTTTAAGGACCAGCAGTGTGCTGAGTTCTACGCCTCACACCCAGAAGGGTTTCGTGGAGCCTGAGAGAATCAAAATTTAAGGACAAAGCCGTATGGTGGCCAGAACTCTGATGTCACTTTTCAAACTAACTTTGCACACAGTCATACCTAGGCTTTAAACCTGACCCCACCCCAGCAGGCTGCACGACCTTGCAGTGGGCACTGAGCCTCTCTGAGCTTCGATATACCTTCTCTCCATGGTGTCAGCACCGGCCTCAGTGGGACATTTGGTGACTGACTAGGATGCCACGGGAGCTTCAGACAGGCATAGTGTGTGGGGAGCGTGGGTTAGTGGGAGCTATTCGTTGCCCCACTATTGCTACAAATGCAGATTTTTCACAGAAAAGAATCTCATCACGTTGGTACCTCTAAGACACCTGATTCCATGACAAAGACTTCCCTCTAAGCACCCACATACCTAAGAACCCCATGTCAGGCTGGAATCAACACAGTGTGGGGGGAGGCTCCCAAGCTTTCCAGGCCCTAGGAGACCCCCCCAGCAGTTAAGGAGCATCCAGAGAGCACTGTGCAGGGTGGGTGGGGTGCAAGGGGATTTCAGGAGTGGGCGAGGAGGGAATAGAAAGCTGGGGCCTTAGGGGTCAGCTGAGAAGGGGAAAGAATAAAGAAAGAAAAATAAAGCTGGGGCCTCATTGAACTCGCTCATGTCAGCAGGCCTGGAAGCAGTGCCACATCCTGACCTGATCAAACTTTGCTAGACTGACCTGAAGAGCCCAATTAAAGAAGTTGTCTCCTCAATTGTGGTCATGAACCATGTCATCCACAGACACTGAGACTTCCAGCCTGTGCTGGTGATGGCAAAGAGCCGGCAGGAAACACTGGTGGTCTGAAAAGGCACAGGTTTCATTGGACTTGAGTAGCTTTGGAAAGGGGACTGCAGTGTGAGGTGGGCATGGGAGATCTAGGCCTAGGTCATGCTAGAGCTTAGCACCTATTTCTGTAACAATCTGGGAGCCACGAAGTGGGGAGCTGCTGATCGCGGAAGCCATAGAAGATGGGGTTGTGCTGGCTGGTGTGTTGAAGTCACATCAGCAGCCAGGACACCCTCCTTTTTAGGAATTCTTACACACTTTTTCAAGATGTAACTCTTGCCACAAAGCCTTTCCAGCTTCACTCTGCTCCTCTCTGGAACTCTGTAGATCCAGCACTTAGATGTTTTTAGTTGGTTTTCTTAAATTTATTTTTTAAATTTAATTAATTTATTTTTAGAGACAGGATATCAGTCTTTGGCCCAGGCTGGAGGAAAATGGGAGTGAACTGGGATGATTCTAGCTCACTGCAGCCTCGAACTCCTGGGCTCCAGCAGTCTTCCCATCTCAGTCTCCCTAGTAGCTGCAGACATGCACCACCACATCTGGCTAACTTTTTAATTTTTTGTAAAGATAAGGTCTTGCGAGGTCGCTCAGGCTGGTCTTGAATTCCTGGGTTCAAGTGATCTTCCTGCCTTGGCCTCCCAAAGTGCTGGGATTACAGGCATGAGCTACTGCGCCTGGCCCAGATGCTTTTAATCTTAATCACTGTAAATGTTATTTTTAAATTCTTGTAACTGTGTGTTTGTGTATGTGTTCGTGTGTGTGTGTGTGTGTGTGTGTGTGTGTGTGTGGTGTGGGTGTATCTGTGTGTGTCTGTCTAGTGTGTGTGTCTTTGTATTGTGTGTGGTGTGTGCGTCTGTGGTGTGGTGTGTGTCTGGTATGTATTTGTGTCTGTGCTGTATGTCTGTGGTGTGTGTCTGTGTGCATGTCTGTGCGTGTCTGGGTGTGTCTGAGTGTGTATGTGGATCTGTGTTGTATATGTCTGTGTTGTGTGTGTGTGGTGTGCGTGTGTGTATAGCTGTGTTGTGTATGTCTGTGTTGTGTGTGTGTGTCTGTGTTGTGTGGTGTATCTGTGTTGTATATATCTGTCTTTTGTGTGTGTCGTGTGTGTCTGTGTTGTCTGTGTGTCTGAGTGTGTGTGTAGCTGTGTGGTGTATGTGTGTGTGGTGTGTGAGTCAGTGTGTGTGTGTATCTGTGTTATGTATGTCTTGTGTAACTGTGTGTGTGTAGCTGTGTGGTGTATGTGTGTGTGGTGTGTGAGTCAGTGTGTGTGTGTATCTGTGTTATGTATGTCTGTGTTGTGTGTGTGTATGTTATATGTGTCTGTGTCGTCTGTGCATGTCTGGGTGTGTCTGTGTGTTGTGTGTGTTGCGGGTGTGGGTGTGTATGTGTACATGCAGCTCCTCTACCTGCTCCTTCCCTTTCCTAAGTATCTTTTAAATCCACCCAGCTAGCATTATCCTAGTCAGGCCTGTTTCTCCCTTCCCTGGACCAGGCGCCTGCCCCTGCCTGCTGCCCCATGCCCTCCAGTTCTCCCTGCTGTGATGGGAGCGGTCACTGCACAGCGCCATTCTCATCGTGCTGTAGCCTTCAGGCTCTTCAGAGGCTGCCGGGATCTTACACGCACCTCCCGAGTCTGGCCTCTGCTCCCCAGTGTGTGCTCTTCCCCCACCCGCTCCTTAGCCTTCAGGTGCTGCGCCTCCTGCCTCATACCCAGGCCTTCCCCGTGCGGGGCTCTGGGGGAACTCACCTCCCCTGCATGTGGCTGCCACCTCCTCCCTTCTGGCTTCTGGAGCTCCTTGTCCTTCCCTGCCGTGCTGCCCTGTTATAATTGGCTGTTTGTTGCTGCTTCTGCTGTTTCTGTCTCCCTCCTCCATGAAGGCTTACCTTCTGTGAGGACAGGAGCTAGGTTCGGCTGCTGCACCCCTGTATCTCTAGGCTCTGGCCCCCACAGTGCCTGCCCGGCACCGGCAGCAAACAGTCAGTAGAATGAAGAATGAGTGAATGAACCAGTGAATGGACTCCCATAAGAAGGACTAAATTAGATAATATACAGAAAGCATCTACAGTGTGTCTGGGACATAGTTGGCCCTCAATACGTGGTTGATTGCTTCATTGATTCACTCACTCATCAGTTTATTAAGTGCCTGGCTAATATCCTTGGGGACACAGCAGCTGGCAAAACAGATACAAACCTCTCTGCCCTATGGGTCCTGCCTTCCAGTGTAATGTAATAAGTGCCGCTGTGGATGCATGTGGGGAGGTGTGTGGTTTCCTCTCTTTCTCTCTTTCAGCTCTCTGTCTCTCAGCCTTCCCCCGTACTCCTCCCCCTAGGGCCCTGTCCCCTCTCTTCCCTCCCCACCTGGGACAAGGGTCACCAAACTGGAGCTGCTCCTGCCAGCAACACCTTGGCAAAGGAGAGGCCCAGGGCCCTTGGGTAGACTCTAGCCACTCCTCAAGCTGCTGAAAGTGGAATCACTTCCTCTGCCCTGGCTGGAATAAATAGGTCAGGGGTAAAATTAGAAAATCAAAAGCCCAAATCCCAGTGATGTGCTGAAGCTTCAGTGCCGCCATAGGCCGTGGCGCTGCGCAGCTTCTTACACCGCAGAGCACTGGAGATCACAGACCAGGGCGCCTGCCGGGTGTGGGCAGAGCCAGGCCCACGCCTTTCCCAGCCTCCATGAGGAGCAACCTTGGACTCCCTCTCTGCAAAGCCAAAGCCATTGCTCCTGCCTCCGAGGAAGAAGAGACTGAGGCCAAGCTATGGCTAAGCAAGCTGGCCACCCCAAACCCCCGCTCCTCCAGAGCAGCCCCTCTCCACCAGAGGCACACTCCTACCCCTTCCGGTCAGGGCTCAGGATTGTGAGGGGAAGGTCCTCACCTCCAGAATGACAGAACCCTGAAGACAGTGCCTCTTAAGAGCCAGCCCCCCTGCCCCGATATTCACACTCTGGGAATATTGGCCTGAGCCCTGTCTGCCTCCCAGGCAGGGTCCATGTCTCAGCTGGGATAGTCCTCATCATATCTTAACCTCTGTTGGGGTCCCTAGCAGGGAACTGTCAGCCACACTGACATTAGCCAACCAGGACCCATTGTGTGATTTGCTCTCCCCATTGGTAATTCACATTTTCTTGGGAGCCATTTGATAGCTGAAATATTTTAAAGCCCAGAGCTCTCAGGTCCTGTGACTGGTTGGCAGCGGTGGGTGGGCTCCATGCCCACCACAGCACCACCTGCAAACTCCCACCACCTTTGCTTGTGCATGGAACTGTGGGATTATAAAATCATCTTATTCTCATTGCAGAAATTTCCAGAATTGAAATTCAAATATGTGGAAGAGGAGCAGCCTGAGGAGTTTTTTATCCCCTATGTCTGGTCTCTTGTCTACAACTCAGCAGTCGGCTTGTACTGGAACCCTCAGGCCATCCAGCTGTTCACCATGGATTCCGACTGAGGGCAGGACGCTCTCCCGCCCGACCCCTCCAGCCAAGCAGCCCTTCACGTCAGTTCATTTCTGGATAACAGAAGCAGACAGACAGATTGCCTGCGGTATCTTCTGTTAAAGAGGATTGCACAAGTGTGTTTTCCTCACACACTTTGATTTGGAGAACTGGTGCCAGTTGGCAGTAGATCACTCAGCGTAGATAGTAGTGCAAAAAGGGGAGGAAATACACAATAATAAATGTAAAAACCTGCTATTCAACATGCAGTTTTATTTCTAAGCCAAAAATCTAGAGCTCTGCCAAGATCCTGATGCCTTAGGCACATCACACTTCAGCAGTGCACACTATTCAACAGTGTACACTATTTTTTTTGCATGTTCAAGATAGTTGTTTTGGTCTTGTGTGTGTGTGAGAGAGAGAGAGATTCCTTAACATTAAGGAGCATCAGTGAGAAAAGATGATGAGGCAGGAATTGATAAAGAAATGAAGTCATGTGTGTGTTTGGTTGCCTCTCAGAGGGCCCATAATCATAAACGCCATGCCCGGACAATTTGATATTAATCTTTAACACCTCTGCATCTTTTCTTAAAAAAGAATATGGGCTGGGTGCAGTGGTTCACATTTGTAATCCCAGCACGTTGGGAGGCCAAGTTAGCAGAATCGCCTGAGCCCAGGAATCTCAGACCAACATGGGCAACACAGTGAGATCCCATCTCTACAAAAAAATTAAAAATTAGCCAGGCATGGTGGCATATTCCTGTAGTCCTAGGTACTCAGGAGGTTACGGTGGGAGGATTGCCTGAGCCCAGGAGTTCAAGGCTGCAGTGAGCTAAGAAGGCACCACTGCAACTCCAGCCTGAGCCACAGAGTGAGACCCTGTCTCTAAGAAACAAAAAAAAAAAGAAAGTGGCTACTTCTCATGAAGCCCATATTAATGTTTCTGTGAATATGGTCTAAGAACTGTTGTTGGAATGAAATTGGAGTCTAGCACAAATTAAGTTAATCTACTCTGTATTAATCATTGGGCAAAAGAAAATCTTTATTTGCAAACAGTCTTTTTCCTTCACCCACACTAATAGAAAAAGGAGACTAGTTTGTTCATACTGGATTCCACTTGAGATGAAAAGCATGTTTTCTTCTTTGTTTCTGATTTTTTAAAAACGCTTCTGGGCCAGTGCGATCCACGTGTTGGTGCCTAAGCTGGGGGAAGGAGCTTCTTGGAGGGAAACAGCCACTGGGGCTGCACGGAGGGCCAAGTGGACCTTCCTTCCCAGGCCCCTTCACAGTCTAGATGAGGAACCTAGCTTCATTCTCAAAGACAGAAAAAAAGTATTTGCTTTTCAACATAGAAAGTGCATAACCCCAGACGAGACTGAGCACGCTGTTCCAATCCACTACAGCTCATCTGCTTCAGGCCTGGCTTCTCCTGTCCCATGTCCCAGAGCTGCAGGCCTGAGTCATTCAGGTCCATCACATCTTCTGAGGGCCTAGGAGGAGCCGTCCTCAGTCACCCCAAGCTCTGTAAAAGGTGGAAACACTGCCAGCATCTCAGTGCACCACTGTGTGGGCTCCACATGGGGACAGCCCCGCCAAGCCGTGCCCTCAGAGGCTATTGAGATAGGGCAGGCAGGCTCCCTGTCCTCATCTGGATGGAATGAAACAGAAGCTCACTGAGGCCAAGGGACTCATGGAGGGCACATCCCTGGTGGGGTCCCGGAGCCGAGTGCAGCTTGCCCCCACCACCGGTCTCTGTTAGGCCTCCTCCTGTCACTGCTGGAGTGGGGACTCTGACTCCTGTGTTCACCTCAGAGTGCATGTACAGGACATCCAGTCTAGAGGTGAGGCTTGACGACAACTTCTACTGATACTTAGTAAGATTTGTGGGAGAGCCAGTCTGGAGGAGGAGGAGGAGCAGCGCTCTCAGCCAGCAGGGGGAGTGATGATTATCATTTCAGGTAGCAAGGATACATATATCCTAGGTGGGGAAATGATTTGCAACTTTGTTTCCAGAGCATTTTGATTGGCTTCTTTTTCCTTTAAACCAAAAAATGTTTTAAATGTTTAAGGTCATGTGAAGCAGCTTAGCTTCTGGCAAGACCGCAGAACTGTCCTCTGTGTCTGAGGGCTGGGCAGTGCCACAGGACAGTCTCTGGGCTCAGGACTGTCAGTTCTTGTCATGGGAGGAAATGAGGCCCCTCAAAAACCCAGTCATCTTGTCAGAGGGCCCACTCCCAAGGAAGCCCTGATTCGGGAATCATGCAGCCTCTCATCCAGGCCTGCCGGCTCACTGAGGTGCCCCCAGAACCCTGATCGCCCTCCCATCTTTCTCTCTTCTCATTCATCACACAAGAGAAGTACCCACTGGCTAAAAGCTCAGCTGGGGCCGCAGCCTCCAAGGAGGCCTGCAAGTGATGCTCCCAATCCTGGTTCCCCTCAGGAGGGAGGCCCCATCACATGCATCACTGCCACAGCTCTGCAAAGCCACCAGAGGCTTCTTATTTTTGTGAAAGATTTATTATATGGCAATAAATCTGAATGATAAACTTTCATTATACTTGCATTGATTTTGAGTATTTGCTTAGAAATTTTTACACGAAGTAAACATATGTAATGATGCAACACAGGATCATCATGCGTTCAGATGGAAATTAACATCTGATTTTACCCAAGATCTGAAGCTGTTACTGCATTGTGTCATTTTATCAACAAAGAATTCTGCCACAATATTTAATTTTAAAAGAATGTCCCTTTCAATAGCATCTTCCCTATCAAGAGTTCAAGGCACTTTGCAGAAAAGCTTCAGAATTCTAACTCTAGCTCCCACAGTCCCCCACTGAGGTGGTGTCATACAATCTGTGAACAACAACCTTGCAACAGACTGCCACCATTCAACAGTGCAGACAACACAGCTCAAGGACAAAGACAGAGACAGAGAAGAAGAGAAGGTCCCGGAAGGTGAAGCACAGAAAGTACACTGCACACACAGTCCTCACTGGAAGGAAATCACAGGGGCTGGGAAGTAGACAGTGGAAAGAGAAATGGACATAGGACCAGCATCAGAACACTCAGCAACTTCCTAAGAGCTTGCTAAGGTACATCCAAGAGAAATATTTAGTCGGGGAAACTTTTAAATGCTAAAGCAACTTCTTAATATATTATACTTTAAGCAACATTTCATCATTTAGATCCTGAGGAGCCAGGGTTTTGCATGGGTGGTATAGCTCTCTGCATAACTGAGTTACCCTGTGCTTTTTTGAAGAGACATAAATTAGAGTTTTGGCACTTGCTATATTTCATAGGCTTCAGTTTGCAAGGTCAACCCTTTGGATCTCTTAATTCTCTCCCAGGCACTATGCCTGCAATATCAGTAGTCGCCAGTTGATTTTAGGCACTGATCTGTGGGCCTTCCGACTCCAGATTCACAACTATTCCAGTGTCCTGCATCACCTCCTAGAGTCAAAGAGGTCAGAGTCGCTATTCAGTGATGAAGAGCCAAGCTAGCTACGCATATGAAGAACTGAGGAGTAGATCACAGCAAATAATGCATATTTATTTTGTAAGAATTCTATTAAAACATAAAATTTAATCTCATTAGGGTGTAGCTATCAGGGTTCCCACCCAAAGCAAGGGAGATTCACCAGCAGCCCCTAGCCCCTTGGTCAGATCATACTCCAACCCCTAATCTGACTTCACAAGCTATCTAAATGCCAGCTACTCAGACACAGCCTCTGGCCTTAGCAAAAACCGTGGAGGAAAAGCAATCCCATAGAGCTGAGCAAGCAATACTTCACTATCTTGTTGGCTCTGGGATCCTTCAAGCAAATTTTTAAAATATTTTGACCAGATTTCCAAGTTGTCCCTGGCTGGAGGGTTGATCCCCCATTACTATCATTAGACTATCCCTCATGAGTTCTGCAGTTCAACTTCTAAACCACCTCAGTACCTGATGTGGTCCGAGGTGAAACTAGATTACTAATGCCTTCAGGTGCCCAGCTGAAGCAAATGCAAATTCTGTAGAGAAAGTGAATATAACCCAAGGCCTCAAATTATTTCTGCAGTGTTGCCATCAGAAATACCCAGGTATGGCTGGGCGCGGTGGCTCAAGCCTGTAATCCCAGCACTTTGGGAGTCCAGGGCGGGTGGATCACGAGGTCAAGAGATCGAGATCATCCTGGTCAACATGGTGAAACCCCGTCTCTACTAAAAATATAAAAAATTAGCTGGGCATGGTGGTGTGTGCCTGTAATCCCAGCTACTCAGGAGGCTGAGGCAGGAGAATTGCCTGAACCCAGGAGGCGGAGGTTGCGGTGAGCCGAGATCGCGCCATTGCACTCCAGCCTGGATAACATGAGTGAAACTCCGTCTCAAAAAAAAGAAAAAAAGAAATACCCAGGTATGGGAGAAGACCAGACAACATTCATTACTCGAATTAAAACCATTAGGGGAAAACACAGACAACAGAAGTACCCAAAAGGACTCCAGATACAGAATTTAAAACAGTTATGCTTACTGTGTTCAAAAAGAAATAAGACGCATGGTCAAGAATTTCAGCAGAAAATTAGAAAGGTAAAAACCCACTGGAAATTCTATGCAGTACTATAATGAGAAGAATCATTCAGTGAACAGGTTTAAGAGCAAATTAGAAATAACTGAAAAGAGAATGAGTAAGATGAAAAATCGGGGGTGGGGGTGGGAGCAGGAATTACATAGTCAAAAAAAAAAAAAAAACAGCACGTAGAGAATAGACGGTAAGAGACTTAAAGGGTACAGTGAACAACTCTAAGTGCAGTTGGCATCTTAAGAGAGTAGAAGAAAGTGATATTTAAATAAATGGCTGAGAACTTATCCAAAACTCATGAAAGATACCACACCAGAAACTCAAGAATCCCTCCCACAAATTCCAAGTAGGATAAATAAAAATAAACCATGCCTAAAAACATCATAGTAAAACTGTTGAAGACCAAAGAAAAACAGTATTTTAGATCTGCTGGGATGGGAGGAAGGAATATAACCATCAAAGGAGCAATAATATTAGACTGACAACTCTTTCTCACCAGAAACAATGGAAGACAGTGAAAAACTGCCTTTTATGGTTCTGAAAGAAAATGACTGCCAACCTAAAAATTTCTAATCAGGGAAAATATCCTGCAAAAATGAAGAGCATATGAAGACATTTTTAGAGAAACAGAAGAATTAATCAGCACACCTGCCCTAAAGGAAAATTTAAAAGGTATTTTACAGACAGAAGGAAAAGAATCCCAAATGTAAGGACAAAGCCTTAGGAAAGATTGAAGAACAATGAAAATGACAAATATTGACTACATAAAACAATAATTACATCTTACAGAGTTTTAAATATATAAAGAAAGAAAATGCATGAAAATAAAGAGATTTAAGTGGGAAGGGCCTAAATGGAATTTTAATTGTTCTAAAACACTTGGCATTATCCAAAAAGTAAAAATTCATTTAATATTAGTCTTTGATAAGTCATGTATGCAGGATAATATTTGAGATATCAATAAAAGTATAGTTTTCCACATAATAACAGAATTGTAATAATTCAGTGGACAGACTTTAGAGTTGCAAAAGAGTCCAAGGAAGAAGAAAAAGCAGAACAAGTGGAACAAATAAAAAGCAAGATATTTATGATAAATCCATTATTACACTAAATGTAAATGGACTAATGCTCAGATGTTGACAAATATTGTTAGCCTTGTTTTAAAAACAACCATATACTATTTACAAGAGACTTTTAAAACATGAATTTCTAAATTTTGAAAGAAAAAGATGGAGAAATACATACCCAGCAAACAGTAACCATGAGGAAACTGGTGTAGATATATTTAAGAAAACTTTAAGGCAATAATTTTTTTAAGAAACAAAAGGGTCAATTCAATTACTAGAAAGATAATCTAAATTTATATGCACTTAAAATATAACCTCAAAATATGTAAAAACAGCTTGATAGTAAATGTAGGCAAATATGCAACCAGAGATATTTTAACATGCTTATTTTGTTAATTGGTAGAAAAAACTAGCATACAAAAATCAAGTTATAAAAGATTAGCAATGAAATGAGCAACCCAAATGGATGTATGTAGAACACCAAACTCAATAACATACTTTTCAAACACAAATGGCACACACTCTAAAATACTGAGCTATAAAAATTTCAACAGGCTAGATGCAGTGGCTCACATCTGTAATACCAGCACTTTGAGAGGCCAAGGCAGGAGGATCACTTGAACCCAGGAGTCTGAGACCAGCTTAGGCAACATAGTGAGACCCCGTGTCTACAAAAAATCCAAAAATTAGCTGGGCATGGTGGCATATGCCTGTAGCCCCAGCTACATGGGAGGCTGAGGCAGAAGAATCACTTGTGCCCAGGAGGTAGAGGCTGCAGTCAGCTATAATCACACTACTGCACTCTAGCTTGGATGACAGAGCAAGACCCTGTCTCTGAAAAACAAAAACGTCTCAACATACTTGAAAATACTTCAAATGAAACATGCTCTCTGACCATAAAGGAATCAAGACAAATTATTTACAAAAAGATAATTTTATAATCCTCATATTTTTGGAAATTAACTAGATTTCCAGGTTACCCATCTGTCAAAAAAATCATAATGGAAATTTGAAATATTTTAAACTGATCGTGAAAATACTACCTATCAAAACTAATGGAGAAAAAATTTGTGAGATGCAACTAAAACTAAGGAAGATGTCTTTTATTTTAAAATTAGAGGATACATGTTCAAGTTTGTTGTGAGAGTACATTGTGTGATGCTGAGGTATGAGCTTCTAATGATCCTGTCACCCCAATAGTGAACATAACCAATAGAAAGTTTTTCAGCACTTGCGTCTCTCTCTCCTTCCCTTCCTCCCACCTTTTGGAGTCCCTAGTGTCTATTGTTCCCAAAATATATATATCTTTAAATGCTTATGTTAGAAGAAAGGTTAAAAATCAATTAAGCAACTACCTAGAAAATTTTTAAAACAGCAAATGAAACCCAAAAATAAGGCAAAACTACAGATACAGAACACAAATACACAATAAAGGGAATCAAAGTCAAAAGCTGGTTATTTAAAAGGATTAATAGGATTCATCGGCTGGGCGAGGTGGCTCACGTGTAATCCCAGCACTTTGGGAGGCCAAGGCAAGTGGATCACCTGAGGTTAGGAGTTTGAAACCAGCCTGACTAATATGGTGAAGCCTCATCTCTACTAAAAATACAAAAATTAGCTGAGCCTGATGGTGTGTGCCTATAGTCCCAGCTACTGGAGAGAGTAAGGTAGGAGGATGACCTGAGCCCAGGAGGTAGAAGCTGCAGTGAGCTGTGGTCACGGCACCACATTCCAGCCTGGGCGACAGAGTGAGAGACCCTGTCTCAAAAAAAAAATTTTTTTTTAATATATATATGTATATATACACACATATATTTTATAGACTATAATGAATACCAATAAATGTTAAATCTAGATGAAAACTTTATTGCAGTGATAGGTGTATACATATATCAATCAAATTGTACACTTTATTACATATGTG